GAACTCCACCTTTGTCAGCATCCTGGGATCCCAAAGACAAAGAGGGAAGGGGCTCTGCGTGTGTATTACGATGAGTGCTTTCCCTGTGTGATTGCACAGCCACCTGGCTGCCTCTTGTCTGAATTCCTAATCAGAGATCTTTCTGAACACATCCTGACTGCCCCAGTTGGACGCCCATAGAGTGCATACACTAAAGCAGAATAGTTCTTATTCCCGAGCTCCCTAGATGATGACTTACTCTTGTAGCTCTCTATTTTTCATCCAAACAAACATATTCATGCAGAGTATATAGGGTCAAATGATGACAAAATGTTACTGAGTTAAATCAATCTTTTAGTAGGTCCATTAATTTTGGGAAATTACACAAGAGGCTTGGTTGATTTAGTATGTAAATGCATTTTAGCAAAAGGTGTGGAAATGACTAAACAAACAATTTCACCTAAAGGTGCACAACTCTATTAGAGTTTAATTTAAAATGACTCAAAAAAAGGAATGTGTGCCACTCTTTTGTTAAGCTAGAAATAAATAAAATAACTCTATAAGTGTTGAAGCTAATTAGTTAAGTGCTCAACTATTTAGTTTTTAAAACAAGATCACATTTAAGTGCCTTAAGGTTTTATTAATTTCATGGACCCCAAAATCCCCTATAGTAATTGAAAATTTAATTACATACGTTTTTCTGTCCTTTTAAGAACGGAAGCTTATTAAACTTTAAACATTTAAACATCTATTGAAATACCAGTGGCTATAAACAACATGCAATTCTAAATACTAATTAAACAGGAAGGCTAGATCACTATAAAGCTAAACTGAATTTTAAGTAACTTTGCACTGGTAAGTACTCCTGGTTTTTTCATGCTGTGTAAGATTTGCCATTTCCTCACTAAGAAGTTCTGTGCAGTGTTAGTATCTGTCTGGACTGTGGCAGGCAGGGTTTTTTTGTGACATAAGTGCAGCGGGGCAGTCCTTAGAGGACAAACTGGAGCTCAGGACAGCAGACCACAGCAGGCAGAGAGCTCTTTTAAGGAGACAGATAGAGCTGCTGGTGGCACTGGCACAGACAGAGCTCATCTGCCTCGTGGAAAGAGTGTGTGCTAAAATAATGGTGAAATAATAATGTGCTAAAATAATGGCTAAAGTAATGGTGAAATGCAGGAAAGAGATGGGTGGGACTGATCAGGCAATAATGATAAGTGTGCCACTGGTACACTTGGTAACAGTGCATCTTGAAAGCTTCTTGATTTTTCCTTTGTTTTATAGAATATTCACAGAACTGGGCTACCAGAGATATCTTGGTTTAGTTTTTCAGGTCCAACCTAATTCAAGTCATTGTGAGTCAATCACAATAACTAATAATAACTAACAACTGATTACCAGCTTACTTAATTTTCTTTGGACATATGTCTGACTTCTCAAAATCAGCCATTGCTCTTTGCATTCTTCTTAGAAAAGGTTAAAGAGAGAATTAACCTCTCCATCTAAATTCTCTTCTCATTTTTACATAGGGCTCTTTTGGGATGTAAAGGTTCATTTTTCCTTCTGTTTGGTCAGCACAACCAGAAGAACATTGCTATGTCAAGGTTGAAGAAGGCAGGTCACATGTAGACACAATGTTATCCTACCCCCAAAGCAACTCTGTATTTAAGTTATTTGAGATGCTGCCAATCACTATATCACTATTTATACTAGAACTTAAAATGCTTTAGGGACAGCAGAAGTAACAAAAGGGGATGAACAGCAGTAGATGACATGCCAGAACACAAATTCTTTTCAAGGAAAGTTCCAAGCATGGATCATGAACCCTGTCAGTCCATCAGGCAGAGGCAATTCCTCTCTTGTCAGAATATCCATGTTTATTACATGAAACGCTTGATGTGTTTGTCTGCTGTGGCAGCCACTCTGCATACTGTGTTTTAAATATTCAGAGGTAGCTGTAACCTTGCCCTTTGATATGTTAGCAAACACAACAGTTAATCTTTCTCAGCGTAAACCCTCAGGAGCAGTTGCATTTCAAAGGACGTGCAGGTGGGATTCTCAGCAAGTGATGAATCCAGCTTCCTTTTTGCTCATCCAGATGTTTTTTGGAAGATTCATGTCATCTGGGAGAAATGGTAAAAAGGGCAATAGTTCAAAATCTGCTTTCCAAGCACCAGACTACCAAAAGATTCATCTCAGAGTGTGTCTGTTCTCTCTTTCCTCATGGCAGTTCTCAGAATTGGTTCATTTCTTGTTGCAGCACCTCCCAGGAACCAGTCTGCTTCATTCAAGAGTTACCAATCTATAAAACATTTACACAGCACTCCTTTTTCTCCAAAACGGTCCAGAAAAATTATCTTTGTACCACCACTGAAGTGATATTGTAACTTCCTTTTGGAAACACTTTCCCAAGAGGGTATCAAGGGTAGTAAAGGTAGAAAGGGGAAATGTTGGTATTTTTCCCCCTTTTCCCCAGCCAGTTTTAGCCTTCATTCTAGAAAAACAGAATGAAGATTCTGAGTCTTTTTTGCAATATGTGAAATGCCAATACACTTTGACTCTGCTGGAAGCGTTAAGCGGAAACCCCAGCTTTTCCTTTTTTGTGACACTAGATGTCCCCACGACTGAAGCAAACATCCCAGGAAATACCTGCTGGACTGGGATACTTTTCCCTAGTTCTACCCAGTACTTTTTACAGGCTGGCAGATTTTATTTTGAAATAAAAAAGTAGCTGATGGTGCTATGTCAAGTGTTGAAATTAGGAGTGGAATGCCATGTGTTACCCAGCACTGTGTACAGAGCAGAGGGAGGTCTATCCTAGCAAAGGAATGGTGCATAAAGAGGTAAATTGGTTTTGCACCACCCAAAAAATGCCTTTGATTTTTGGAATAAATAATTCTCTGCTATCAGAAGTTTGCTATGATTGCTCTCTCTTCCAAGAGACGGGAAGGAATACAGTAATGATCTTTATGTATATTTCTTTAGCACATCTTGTGGGGTTTAAAAGCATCACCCTTGGTCAATAGTATTCCTTGGCATCTTTGTGTGCCAGGCACAGGCAGAGAGCAGCCCAGGTCCTTGATGGTAGGGCTCTGTTTGCAGTATGAAGGGGGCAGAAATCTGTGTTTGTCACCCACAGGCAGCACACTTGAACTGGGCTTTTTCTTGGGGGTGGATGTGGGCACTGCTCGTTTGGTGGGATGGAAGGGAGGGAAACTGGGGGTGGAAGCAGGAGCCTGTGTAGCTTTACTGTGCAGTGTGATCTGTGCTGTGCAAGCAATAGAAATTGCTTCTCTTTCCCCATCTGTTAAGTGCCACTCCTTCATGTTCACACCGGATCCTTGCAAATAATCACAGAAGCAAAGGAAAGACAGGATACCTCAAGTTTGAGGGGACCCATGAGGATCATCGAGTCCAAATCCCAACACGACCCAACCTGAAAGAGAAGTGAAGTCATTAATTTGCCTAAATGTGTGTTTGGCCATACCTACTTTCCCTGTGGTCAAGTTTCAAGTTTCAAGTGCCAGTGAGACAGACCAAAGGCAATGTGCTGATTTCTAGAGATTTTGTTGTAGCAAATTCTGTTATGACCTGAAAATCTCCGAAGTTTTCTGCAGACATTGAGCATATATGGCATGTTTCATCAGAGTAAGTTTTTATTCCACCATCTTGCATGGTTCTTCTTCCACTGCCCCTTATCCTCTACTTGATATTGCATCTGATAATCTCTCAGATGAAGCTTCACTGTGTGAAGACAAGGATGTTTTATGCTGCCTTATTTTTATTGCTGAACCATTTGTGAATGACTTTGGGTTCTCCAATGTGTCCAAGACATCCACGGGACTGACTCCATATTGACATTTCTTCACGCTGAGTCCTGATTTTGGTCAGTCCTGTGTTAAAATTGTGCAAGTTTCGTGTTACCACAATCCACTAATTCTTCCAGTGTCTGTGTTTAATTTGCTTTGTTTATACATCAAAGCCTATGAAGTGGGAGGTGTTACAGCTGGTCTTTGTAGTCAAGTCATGCAGATCCCAGACCTGTTCACCAGCCCCCCTTCTCCAGGCAGAGAGCAGGTTTCTGGTTGCAAGGGAAGGACACAACCAGGATGGAACACAAGGTTTCCTTGCCCTGTCCCTGAAGCACTGATGTCTGCAAGAGTCCTGCCCTGAAATTCACAGCGGTCTGAACATGTTGGGGCCCATAACCATAGTAAGGGAAGTAAGTTATTTGTTCAACCCTAAAGTAATTTCCTTTTCTCTAGGAAGAGGTTTCTACCCATCCAGTAGCCCTAATAATGTGCAAGAAAAATTAGATTGAAAGTCACTTTCCTTGTGTTTATTAACAGTGAGTTGTTTTACAGTTCTTACATGCTGTTGTGTTAATTTGTTTGTTTCCAGAGGCTACATTTAGATGCTGTTTACAGCAATAAAGAGAATATTACATTTGATCTAGAGTTCTATCTTGATTCACAGGAGGAGATGCGAACAGAAGCTCGTCGGAAAAATCTCCTCATTCTAATTTTGCATTATTTAATCAAGGAAGGGTATGTGTTTTAAATAATAGTGCTCTACCCTTGTGGGATTGGGTGTATCTGACCTGGTACTGCCTCACCTTTCTGTCCTCTATTGGCCGAATGGACAGTGTGGCCTTTGGGTTGAAGTGAGAAGTGATAAACTACTATGAGGTATCCTCGCAGTTTGCTTTGCTAACTTGTTTCAGTTTCTGAAAAAAAAAAAAACTCTATAAAATTTAAAAATACTTTAGATCAACCAGCAAGGCATATTAAAATTGAGTTTCCGCTTCTATAAAAGTAGGGTTGTGGAGAGGTTAAAGTTACCCTATGCTTACTACTGCCATTGTTTGCTTTTTCTCTCAGAAATCAGAGAAAGATAATGACTCTCAGTTTTTTTATCTTTGTTTGTTTTGTTTTTAAATTGCCAGATATGTTGATGCTGCAAATGCTTTGGAGCAAGAGACAAAATTAGGTTTACGTGGCTTTGAAGTTTGTGACAACGTTGATCTTGAGACAATTTTGATGGAATATGAAAGCTACTATTTTGTAAAGTTTCAAAAGTATCCTAAAATTACCAAAAAGGTCCTGGAGACTGGTATGTGGCTCTGTTCCAAAAAGAAAGCTTTTGTTTCCAAAGTCTAAAATCTGTATTTCCCTGCTATGCTCACAGCTCTTGTCATGTATGTCAGCATTTAATATTCCAACCCTTACAGTTGCAGATCTGTAGTTCTAGCACGCAAGGCACCAGAACTGAGAGATGTGGCTTTGGCCCCTTCTGCTTTTCCATCTTTCTTTATATAAAGGAACTAGAAAGTGGCATTTTTCTGTATATTGAAAGCTGCTTTGGTATTGGAAAAGGTCAGCTAAGTACAAAGCACTATGGCAAAGATATATTTATCCATTTGCTTCTCATGGGGAGAGAATAGTAAATAAGTGATACAGAAAAGTCAAATCAGAGCATTCTGTTATGACCCTGAGAAGCAGAATGGTTTTGTACTTGAGCACAAAATGTAACTTGGAGATGCCATAAGAACAAACATATGAGAATAGGTGATGAAGAGCTTGAAGGATATAGGTTTTCATTAGACATTAGGAAAAAATGCTTCACTGAAAGGGTTGTCAAACCCTGGCACGGACTGCTCAAGGTGAAGCAACATCCCTGAAAGTGTTCAAAACACGGGGATGTGGCACTCAGGGATGTGCGTCAGTGGTGGTCACTGCAGGGGTGGGGGAGTGATTGGACTGGATGGTCTTAGACATGTTTTCCAGCTTAAATAGTTTAGTGATTATTTGCTTGAAAAAGGCATGTTCATCTAGAACATTGGTTGTATTGGATTGATGTTAATGTAAAGAGAAAGAACAGCCCTGCAGAACAAGACAAAAAAAGACTTATTATGAGTTGAGAATGAAAATGTATTACAATAATTAATACAAAAAAATGTATTTTTTCACATCATAGTAAAACTGAGCACTAGTCAAAGCTGTATCCATGATGTAAGTAAAAAAGAATTCCCAAAAACCCACTCTTGGTTTTCATTATGCATTCTTTGGTCAGTAAAATGGGCATGGAGTTGTCTGCTGTTACCTAAGCTCAGATTTGTGACCATGCTGGCAGGGAGGCATCATCCTTCTTCCCTAAAGGATAAGCAGCCTCTTTTCCTGCACTGCACGCAGTTTGTACCATGCCCTAAATTGTGCCCGTGGCCAGACTTGGATGTCTAAACAAAATCTTTGGTATGGTGCTCCTTCCTACTGAATTCTTTGCAGCACTCTTGGCAAGCCCTACAAGTAACAAGTTGGTCATTTCCATGCTGAATTCCAGTTGGAAGTGTTGCAGATACACCCACGAGATTACAGGTTGTTCCATGGGCTCTGCTGCCCCTAAACACACCATGTTCCCAAGCTCCTCAGGGAAAGAGTTTTTTGGGAAAGATTATTTTATGCAAGTGTGTGAGAATCTTGAGCATTGTACAGAGAACACTGAAAGGAGATTTGTTTTGGAACAACCAGGGGCATGCTGGTAGCATATAAACCCTTGGTTTTATGAGTTCACATCTGGGCTTTGCGAGTTTGACATTTTATGGGAAAAAAAGCTCTCCTTTGACAGACGTTGTTTCAAATTATATAAATGCAAAAGATAACATAGTTTGATAACCACTATTGCAATGTGACATTTATTCTGTCTTGTTATGTTGAACTTGATTCCCCTTCAGAGGAGTAAGGCAAATTCATATTTCCCAATTCAGCAATAAAAAAAAATATTAGCATTAAATAAGCATTCTGTGTGATATATTAAATTATTATACTTAATCTAATTTCTGGTAATGTCCACTTTACTGTGAACATGACACTGGTTTTAAAATATAAACAGAGAAACCAAAGAATGAGCTAAAATGTAAAAAGATTGAAGCAAAACCACTCTCACCAACACCAGTTTGTTTTCAATACATTTTTGCAAGCTTGCAGTGCTTATACTCACACTGCTCCTGTTTATGCATTATTGTTTCCAAGGTCATTATTGTGTGCTTAAAATATTTTTAAAGGGAAAAAAAAGCTTCAAATTGCCCTCTTTTATATCCTTAATTATTTTCCATTTTAATATTAATTTTGCCACAGCAGAAAATAAACAGCTGAGAAGTGGAGGAAGAACAAGAAGGTGAGAGATATGTGTGGGGTGTTTTTCTGGGCAGAAAATTTTCCTAGTAAAAGCAAATATGCACAGTGATTAAGATAATGTTGTGATACCAGAGGAGTACCAAAACCTAAAGCCAAGCTCCTGACTGTGTGGTGCATGTTTCTGTATGTGTTAGAGGAAACTAAAGACTTATTTTCCAAATGGAGAGGCAGATAATTTACAGAGCTTCTGCAGTGTGGATAAAGTGGGGTGGGGTGTTTGAAAAATTAAGCATTGAACTCTGCTGTGATTGGAATGAACACCAAAACTTCAGTGGGAGCAAGGTTAGCCTAAAACTGCATTATTTGGTATTTTGAAGTAAAAAAAAAAAAAAAAATAAGTAATGGAAGTCTTGCATTATTTTTCTTAATCCTAGGACAGCAACTTCTTCTCAGAATGTACCAAGGGTCAAAAAACAGACAGTGCAACAACCAGTGTCAAAAACTTCATCTGGGAGTACAGCAAAACCTAAATCCTCCACCAAGGAGAGCACCAGACAGGTTTAAACATGTTTTATCTTGGCAGCAGTAATGTGATTTTGTTTGTGAATCTGTAAGCAGCAAGAGGATGGGAGTTACACAATTAATAATTGTGCAATTAGTGGATTTTACTAATTATGTCACTTAAGGATTATAGGTACAAGACTTAGAGAGAATTTCTGGCACTGAGTTTGAGGGCAGTCATAAGCAAAAATTAGAGGAAAAGGAGGCATATAATCCAAACTATACTGAAAGCAATCTGAGTTTTTTCATTAATAACAATATATTCATCCTCTAGTGGCAGAAAGCAAAACAAAGAAGTAAGTCTGGTATAAATTATAAGCATCTTCACAGTGCATAAGTTCTTTGAGACTGAGGGAGTAATTTGGCTCTCTAATGTTCAGGTTGAGAGTCTCATTTTGGTGAGATTGCTGTGAAATCTACTTTATTATCATCCCTTTACAGGGGGTGGAGCAGGAACAGCTGGTTGGTGGGCAAGCACTCTGTCTATTATAGCTCTTTTTAAGGGCCTGGCTATATTTCTGCATCAAGAGGAACTCTTCTCTGGCCTATTGCTACTCTTAAAAATACCCCAAAACATTGCCTTTTGGATTTTATACCAATAACTGCTGTGAAGTGAATACATAATCCTAAAACAGCTCCTCATTTCTGAGCTGACATGCTGTGCCTGTCATTTCCACTGTTCATAAGAGTTGCTTCTTACATAAAATGCAGTTTTCTGTTCGGTACATGGAATAATTTCACTGCTGAGCTCCAGAGCCATGGCTTTCACTGCTGTCACCAGTCAAGTGAAGTCTAATTAAGTGTACAGTGGTGTTTAAATGATCAATATTTCTCTTGGAACTTCATCTGGGCCTGTGTGAAGAGATGGAATGATACCTATAATGTAATATCTTCAATCCATTTATTTGGCAGCACATCTGTTTTAAAAGGCATTTTTCTTTAGAATAGTGATGGTGAAGATACTCTAGATCAATCCAATTTTGGCTTAACCATCTCAGGAATCAGCAAAACTGCAGGAGACAGCTCTCACCCAAGAAAGGTTGGTGGAAACCTGGTATGTGGTTTATCAGAGAAAAATGTATGTGGAAAAAAATAAAATAAAATAGAGGTTTTCAGATAGTACGGCTTTTTTGTTTGTTTTCCAAAATATCAAATGGTAGGGGTTTTTTGTCTATTTTTACATAAAATGTTTCTTTATAGTCAGCTGAAGAGTCAATTTTATACTGTTGTATAAAAAATTTTATAATTCTTTATATAGGAGGCACTTTTTGCATTAAATACTATTTCAAACATATTCAGAGGGGAATATTTATTTTTTTTAAAACCCAGTGGTAAATAACTATGACTGAAGAGAAATTTTGAATTTCTGAATGAGGTAATGAAAGTCTTTGCAGTTAAATGATTGAATTGACTGAGATGTGTGTTTTATCCCCATTGCTAGCACTGTTTTTGTGGTCAATTTTTTGCCATAATTAGGACTGTAGATGCAGTAAGGCTGTAATTGCTAGCAAAATTTGCTCCAGTGTATTTTTAAGAGTAGTGCTACCACCATGGTAAAGCCTACAGCAACATTTTTTTATCCTTTTCTCCTTTAGGGCCAAATAATTGACTTCCACAAGATGATTCAGGATGCTGTCAGAGTGCCACCAGATGGAATTCCCTTGAACAGCCTTAATAGTGATCCAGATCCAACAGTAAGTGTTTCTGTTCATATTTTCATCCTGTCAATACGAACTTGAGTTTTGCACAACCAGGAACAAAATAAAATACTGCAACAATGTTGTTTTTGTTCCCAAGTGTTAAAAACAGCCTTGGTTTTTTGAGGGGTGTATTCCTCCTCTTGTAGGGACACTCATACCTGATAGTGGTCAAATTTGATGACAGTTGTTTATTCAGGCAACAAATAAAAATGAGATCTTAAGAAAAAAAGAATAAATTGCAGACACCTGCAGAACTTCTGGTGGTGAAATCCTGGTTGCTTTCAGCTCAGTATGTCTCCAGCATTTGCCTCAGTTGAGACAAAAACAGAATTTCAGTGGTTGAGATAAATTTTCTGTAAACACTCCAGACACAAGCAAGAACTTCTCAGATAGTGCCTTCAGCTTTTGTGGTGCTCGTCTGCCTGGCAACTTGCTACACTGGAAGAAACTGTGCAAAAAGAAAATATGACAGAACAGTGACCTACATTTACATTTTTCATTCCTCTTAATCTATGTAGGGCATATTTAAAACTCTAAGTGCAGTAAGAGAGCTCATTTTAATGTTGATTTGGGTTAGATTGTGTCAGAGGAAAAGATTACTTTCTGCAAACATGATTTACTTCAAAATTTTTATTATTTCACATTTTTTCTGCAGCTTTAAAAGTTGATATTACAACAATGTATCAGTTTTTTAAAAAGTAGTTAATAGTTTGTCTAAAAATACTTGCAGTCTGAAAAGAACTCATGTTTTTCTCTTTTAGGAACGATTGTTGAAACCTCTTAGTGCTTTTATTGGCATGACTGGTGAGATGAGGGAGCTTGCAATGGTTGTAAGCAAAGTAAGAGCAGATCTCCATGTTGGTTGCAGAGAGATGTTGGTTATCTTTGTCATCTGGGAATGCTGTTTGTTTCTTTTTACTGTCACTGATAGAACTTACTCTCAAAAGTGCAAGTTATTTTTCTCTCCATGTAGCTCTCCAACAAGTCATTTCTTTATGTGTAATGATGTTTCTTTCTGATGCACTTCTGTGGGAAGAAATAATTAAGACCTTTCTAATAATTAATAATTAAGTTCCTTTCTAATGGGGAACAGGTAATTTAAACATGGCTTTCCTCTTTGCTATGAAAAAAAGTACAGTACTTCACTGGAAAGAGAGATTTAAATATATTAGCTAAAACCAACTATTATCTAATGTTTTATCTAACTGTGATCAGATAGTGGGAGAAACCTTGATTCCACCCTTTGGGTGAAGTTTCTATTTCAGGCACAGAGCTGTAGTGAGTGTGGATGGTGTGCCAGTATCACAGCAGTATCTGAATGCTGAATGAATCTAGTAGATAGCATCTACCAAAATTATTATTAAACCCTGGTATTCCTGCATGGTTTAGAGTCAGAGAATCATTTAGGTTGGAAAAGCCATCTAAGGTCATCAGGTCAAACCATTCCCTCTGCACTGCCTTGGCCACCACTGACCCATGTCCCCAAGTGCCACATCAACACGGCTCTTAAACTCCAGGGATGAGGATTCCAGCACTGCCCTAGGCAGCCTGTGCCAAGGCTTGATAAGCCTTTCCATGAAGGAATTGCTCCTGACACACACCCTGAGCCTCCCCTAGCCCAGGCTGAGGCCGTTCCCTCTCCTCCTGTCCCTGTTCCCTGGCAGCACAGCCCGACCCCCCCGGCTGTCCCCTCCTGCCAGGGACTTGTGCAGAGCCACAAGGGCCCCCTGAGCCTCCTTTGCTCCAGGCTGAGCCCCTTTCCCAGCTCCCTCAGCCGCTCCTGGGGCTCCAGCCCCTTCCCCAGCTCCGTTCCCTGCCCTGGACACGCTCCAGCCCCTCGGTGTCTCTCCTGTGCTGAGGGGCACAGAGCTGTCCCAGCACTGGAGGTGCCTCAGCAGCGCCGGCACAGGGGACGGGCCCTGCCCTGGGGCTGTGTCACACCTGGCTGGCACAGCCCAGGGGCCACTGGCCTTGTTCTTGTCCTGTGCCTTGCTTTGTGCAGCCTGCAGGGTCTGCACTCCCTGTGTGTTCTCACACAGTGCTCTTGAGAGATGTTGTAACAGCTCTGCGAGCACTGCCACAGCAGCATCAATAATACACCATATCCCAGGGCAGACTTAAGGATTCTTCCAGGATGGGCAGCTTGATCCCTGGAGGGACCCAAAGCACTGTCAGCAGCATTTCATTTCACTCCTGGGTTGAGGTGTAGCCTAACAAAGAGGCCCTGGTCTACTGGGGATCTGTGGCTACAGCCCACAAATGCTAAGCATCCACCACTTTTGGATGAGTTGCGCATCCAAAAGGATTCATAGCACCACAGTCTTTGGTGCTGTTGTGACTTTCTGGATATAAACATCATGAGCAGTATCAGCTTGGGTAAACCTACTTATAATCATCTTTCTAAAAATCCTGGAAGACTTCTGCTGATTGATTTTTATATCTGTGTATGGCCAAAGTTCTTGGTCCACAAGTTTTGTATTTGATGTTTAGTAGAAATTAAGAAATGTCTTAGGAAATTTCCAACCTTAAAGTAAGAAAATTCTCATTTGTTTCAAAATTCCTGTCTGGTCTTTAATTTATGCTAGACCTTTAAAATAACGTTGTTCTTGCTGCTACATTAACACAAAAAAAAACAATAAAAAATTGCTTTCCCTTTGTTATGGTGTGTTTTTTGAATTGTACTCCATTATGGTATGTTGCCAGTTGCTATGGTAATCAACACTGTATAAATCAATAAAAATAAATAGCATGTTATATCTATTTCATAACACAATCTAATTTAATTTGGAAACAGTTATGGAAGTCTCTACTTAATAGCAGAAATCTGATTCATCTTAATTCACTGCTAATAGACAGGGAAAGTGTAATCTACTCTATATAAATAATTTTTTCTAATTTTATTAAATCAACTTTTCCCCTTGGATATAACCACATAATTTTTCTTCTGTCTGTGTGGACTATTTTTGTTGGAGAGCAGAATTTTTCCTGAGTATTTGTACTGGGGATATGGTATTTTTTGCAGAACAATTAGCCCCTGGAACACAAAGCCACAAAATATTATGAAGGCGAATGGGAAGATTTGTAGAAGATTTGGAAAGTTTGACAAATTAAATGAAATTAATTTAGTGACTGCTTCAGGGCATAGACTAATTACCGTCTATCTTTTGATAGATGCTTAGGGGAAAGATTTCTTCCTGTTGCAGAGTTTCTCACAGCTTTTCTTGCAGTATATAAAATCTTGCATAAGATGGAGTAAATAGAAATTTTTCCCTGTTACTTACAACACGAGTAATAACTTAAGTAACAGGTATTAACATTATAATAAATAATAACATAAGCAATAGGTGCAGCCATGAAGTTACTGAGCATCAAGTTTAAAAAAAAACCAAAGTATTTTCACATGGCACATGAGTGAGCTGTGGATCTTGTGACTACAAAATAAACATGTTTAAAAGAGGGAAGAAAAATTCACTGAAAAATGAGTATCAAGAACTCAAAGATTCAGATGTAATTTGAATTATGAAGTCCATTGAGCATTGTTAACTTGAACCAATGCTTGCTTGAACTTGAACTATGATTGCTTTTACTTCTTTTTTTAAGCACCCAATGCTTGCATAATAGAGACAAAATATTGGGGTTGGTGAACCTGCATATCACAATAGCTGTTGATATGTTGGTTAGTTCCTAAATCAAACTAACAGAAAACAGATCTGAGGAAGATTTGCTCAGCATCTACATTTGGTAGGAATACATTGGGGAAACTGGGGCCTGGAGGGGAAGTGGAGGGGAAGAGATTGCTATGTATGCTTCCCTCCTGGGAGGTCCCTGGTCCCTAGGGTTAAATAATGCAGCCTGTATCACTTAACAGTAGTGTTATTTTATCACTGAGTCAATCCTTTTACTTTGCCAGAGGTCATTATTGGACTGCAGAAGGAGTTTTGCTAACAAGATGTGATGTGTGTTGCAGGACATTTATCTCCATAAGCCAAATGTGAAGTGGGATGATATTATAGGGCTGGATGCAGCTAAAAGGCTGGTCAAGGAAGCAGTTGTTTACCCCATAAAGGTAAGGTGCTAAATAGTTTTGAGAAAACCAGTGTTGGGCTTGTTAGCTTGTTTCCTTGTAATTATAGTGGTGTTTTAGAATTCTCAATACTTCTGTGCTTTTGTAGGCCATTTGAGTTAGAACTGTTGGTGCTCCTGCTTCATGCCAGAACTATTCCTGTTCCATCTGAAAAAGGCAGATGGAGTCTTCTATAGGAAAAATAGCTTTCAGTATTAAAATTGTTAAGTTTTAATTGTTAATTAAAAAGAGTTTTGTCCAATTCTTGGCACCTTTGGTATTGTAAAAAGTGCTGGGTTTGACCTATATTAATTCCATGAAAAATGACTTACAGAAGAGAATGTTACATCAATTGCACTTTAAAAAAAAAAAAAAAAAGCCCACTGAAAACAGAATTCAAATAATAAGTACAGTATTTTTCTCAGTACTCAGATCATATGTGTCACATTGTTTTGGTGTGGTTTTATGCCTCTCTTCAAATTTCTCATGTTTCTGGAATGTGCTAGGAGCAGTGAAGGTGGGGACTACAATGCCTTGCAGTTTTGTTTTAGATGATACATTTTTAATTCCTGAATTTCTTTTCTGCTTCTACAGTATCCAGAGCTGTTTACTGGCATTCTGTCCCCTTGGAAAGGATTATTGCTATATGGACCACCAGGTATGGGGAGCTTTTTAACACATCTTTTTGTTTGTCACTGCTTCTTGTTTTATCCTGTGGACAAGTCATTGATGTTAGTTAGATCAGATTGTTAAAAAAGAACAGAAGTAAAAGTACATAAATTAAAAGCAGAGATGGTTGTGTCCATCTCTGGCACTCAAACCTGGCCTTTCTTATAAGCCTTGGCTATTTTTATACCCGGATCTTCCAGAGACAGTACTCATAATTACAGAGACACTAACAATTCAGGGGAATGAAAACTCAGATCTCTGTTTTTACTCAGCTTGGACCATTTTAATCAAGTTTGGCATGGTGCTAAGGTATGTCAATAAATCTGTCATGGACTTACCTCTGTAGTGAAAAAGGTCCTTCCTTTCTTCTTCTTTTAGGGGCTGTGCTTGGGAATGGGGTGGAAGCTTTGCCTTCTTCCAGCTGGGTGTTTTCCTTGTTGGTGCAGCTTCCCTGCTCCTTCTGCCCCACTCTGACACGAGGATGTGGCTGGAAGGGAGCAGAGGGCACAAGAAACACCTGCGTCAGGTTGCAAAGCCCGTCTCTGCAATGAAGTCCATTTGGTCCTGTGAATGTTTAGATGTTCCTGCCACAGAAGGCACCCTTTCAAAATGCACTACTTCAGGATTTGGAGAATGCATTTGCAGTTCTGTATTACCTGAGTTTCTCCAAACAATCCTGAAAGCGTCACAAAATATTCTGAGGGCTGGAGCCCCTGTGCTCTGGAGCCAGCCTGGGAGAGCTGGGGCTGCTCCCCTGCACAAGAGAAGGCTCCAGGGAGAGCTGAGAGCCCCTGGCAGGGCCTAAAGGGGCTCCAGGAGAGCTGCCCAGGGACTGGGGACAAGGCCTGCAGGGACAGCACACAGGCAATGGCTTCCCAGTGCCAGAGGGCAGGCCCAGCTGGGATATTGGGAAGGAATTGCTGGCTGGGAGGGTGGGCAGGCCCTGGCACAGGGTGCCCAGAGCAGCTGGGGCTGCCCCTGGATCCCTGCAGTGTCCAAGGCCAGGCTGGACAGGGCTTGGAGCAACCTGGGACAGTGGAAGATTTCTCTGGTCATTGCAGGGTGTAGGTCTCAATGGCATTTAAAAGTCCCTTTCAACCCAAACCATTCTATGAGTTTTTTACTGGTTTTATCTGACTGGTAGTAGAATGAGGGGAACTCATTCAAACCTTTGCATTTTATTCCTTTGGAGAGTGAATTTCTCAAATACTGTTGTTTGTAGGCACTGGAAAAACTTTGCTTGCTAAGGCTGTTGCTACAGAATGCAATACAACCTTTTTCAACATATCAGCATCCACCATTGTCAGCAAATGGAGAGGTGATTCAGAAAAACTGGTCCGGGTAAGAATTACTCTCTCATTTATTATACTTTAACAAACATCACATTCCTCCCTGAAGAGCTGGGGTTCAGCACAGAACTGAAAACAAGTGTTCCTGTGATACTCATAATCTTTCCTGATTTAGACAAAACATGTCATTGATCATACCTAGTTCTGAAAGAAGGAATAATATCACTTCTGCAGAAATCTTATAATGGATTCTTGCTGTGGGACTTCAGTTCTGAAATGTAAGATGGAGCAGGTGTTCTGAGGGCAGCAAAGATCTTTGACCACCTGATTAGGAGTCAGACAATCAGAGTTCCAAACTAGTGTGTGCTTAGTGACCTCTTCAGAACACCTCACATCCGTTTTGCAGGGATTGGCTCCTAGACACCATGCAAAATGTAATTTAGATTCCAAATTCCTAGTTGTTCTTCATGGCACAAAGTGGGAAAATAACTCCCTTGTCACAAAGATCTTCCATTCAAATGCAGATGTAATATTTCAAGGAAGATGATTTTCTGGCAAATGGGTAAATGCATTTTTGTGTATAAACTAGTGAGGAGTGTGCATGGCTCAGCTGTGGTACAAAAAAGTTTAGGGGTTCAGGTGTAGGATCCTTGCCTATCTGAGTGGAAAGTCACAACCTCTTAACCTGCCTTACCCTCATCTCTTGGGCTGCACTTCAGGTAAATGAAACATGTTTCATGGAAACAAAAAAACACAGCAAGCTGTTCTCTGCAAATGGCATTGTTACTTTCTCTTGAAATGTAGGCAATGGCTGCAGCACACTTACTTGTCCTGCCTCCTTTGTCCTTTAAAATGGCATATTTTTCTTCTAATATTCCCTTTCTCTATTACTGATCCTCTTGACATCTATCTCAGTAGCTTCCTGGAATTTTCTTTTCTGGCAGGAATATATGGAGACAGTATGGTTTTTGCCACCATCATCCAGCAGGCTTTTGTGAACATGCTGCAGCACACTGCTGGAGCACAATGCTGGAGCATTGATATTGAATTTGTGGCATTTTACCCTTAATTAAATTTATGGCAGCATCAAAAAATGAAGTAAGATTGTGAACTGGGAGAGCTCTAAGAAAAGTATTTTGTGAATTTATGTCCTAAAATCACATGAGGCTGGTGAAGGGGAAGTATATATGGAGTTTGTGGTCATTTGGAGGCATATCCTCTCATCCTGTTTTGCTCAGTTCCACACCATATTTTTGTGATTTTATATATTTTATATATTATATTTCTAGTGAAATTGTATGCTGGTCATGGTCCACTTGTTACTCTTGGCAAATAACTTAAACCCTGTGTTTCATGCCCCAAGTGATGAAAATAATATGTAGCTTTTAAAATTTGATTTTTTTAAGCATTCAGATTTGAAAGTGCTGGACTAATATATATTGTTACTGATACTTATCTAAAAACTCAAAAAACACTTTACTCAAGAAAAGCTGACAGTGTTTTCTTACTCCTAACACAGGCCTCCCCATGTTTACGGAAAATTAGATGAACCTTCATTCTCCAAAGAGCAGATCCACATTTTTTGTTTCAGCTTAATAGCCCATTTTTTTAATCATGGTTGTTCATGCAATTTATGTTTGTTTTGATCACGAAAAAAGAAGAGTGCTTGGTTATTATCAAAAGAATCAGTGCATTTTCTTTCATTATGCATCAGCTGACCTGCAATTTTTTCCCCTCAAATCCTTATTTAAAAAAAAAAGTACAAATGGAGCAACAACAAAAGGCACATGTTTAATCTCAGTAACAATTTAGGAGTTCCCAGAATCCTCTGATGGATCATTTTCTTCTATCCTATTATTCTCAGGGTACTCTGATAGGATTTAGACAGAAAGATTTACACATAAAGGCAGGATTACAAGGCTGAGTTCTTTATATCTCCTTTACAAACCTCTCAGATTTTGTGAGGATTCAGGGACCCTCAGCTTACCCAGAGCTTTTTCCCAGCAGATATCCCTTGGGATGTGGGTGCTGTTAATTTATCTTCCATGCCAATTCACTTTAGTGCCTTCTTGTGTCAGCACCTCTTTCACATTTACTCTTCTCTCTGACAGGTGTTGTTTGAGCTCGCCCGGTACCACGCTCCTTCCACAATTTTTTTGGATGAGCTGGAGTCAGTTATGAGTCAAAGAGGCACTGCTCCTGGGTAACTGGTGGGACCACTCTGGGGATTAAAAGAGAGAGGTGCAGTGGTTGTGTCAGTGACAGCAGAGAAGCAAGACAGGTTTTGTGAGGATTAGCAAGCAGCTACAAGGACAGCGAGAGGGAGGGAGGTGCAGGGCTTTATAACCAGTTGTGCTGTCCTGTAAAGGGATTTGAAATGGAAATAAAGGGCAGCAGTGAGGGAAACAGGTGAATTATTAGAGGTAAGTAAGAAGCAGCTTATTTTGTGACACTTTGAAGATAGGCATAGCAGAGTAATAGGGAGTGTACGCAGTGGAATGGCATTTTCATCAGTGACAGATTTTGGTGGCATTGTCAGCACTTCCCGTTGCAGGAGTGGGAGTATGTTGTTACTTGAATCCAAGATGTAGACAGTTTATAGTTAAAAACACATTAAAAAGGTTAGGGGCGGGAAAAAAGCCAGAGAAATACAAAAATATTGTTGTGACTATTAGGAACCCATTACAGGGGATTTTATGTACAGTGAATTACATGGTCACTTTATTTATAAGATATTGTATGTCTATATTGTATGCTTACTATTTGTAAATATTGTATGCCCTATTGTAAAGATGCTACTTGTAGTCATCCTCACTTAATAGATGCAAATTATGAGCCAAATTTGTCCTTCATATGTACATTTAAAAGCTCTCATTAACATCACTAGGTTATATATTCTAATAAGGACTTTTATCCTAGATGTTGTACTTATTTTTAAATGTACTTATTAAATACTGTCTTGGCATTGATGTTTAAATGCCTTTGCAGAAATAAGTAATTAAATATGAACTTCAGCCCTTACCATCTAAGGTCCTGATGTTTTTCCTGGGCTTGATCCAGGATTTTCCAAGACCTTCACATCTGGAACCAAGAGTTCCAGCTGGTTTTCTGCAAAACAGATTACCTGTATCAGGGCCAGAATTCTTAGCACTTTGCTTAAGTTCTCCTTTTTTGAAGAAGGATCCTTTCTGTGTGGTCTCTGCCCCATTTCTAAATTCCTATCAGTATGGTGTATTTTTCTGTTTTCTTTTGATAGAACATTTTGCAAAATGTTGAATTCAGTAGTAGGTTTATCTTCTTGTGGCCACTTCACATTCACTCACAGAAAAATGCTACCCTGAAGAGGTAGGTGTCCCAGTTACTTAATGGCAACTATCACACTGTAAGAATTCCATGCTATAGATAATCAATCAGTCAATCAATCAATTGGAGCCATAGCTATTTTGCAGTAAATGTTGGTCTTGCAGGAAGAGTAACATGAAGAAAAAATTAAATATTTTCTTTGGATTCAGTAACAGTGAATTCTCCTCACTTTAATGCACTGAAAAGAGTCCATTTAAGTAATCATTAGAAAGCTTGATTTTAATGCTTAGATGTTAGCTAATGGAGCTTAATCATGCTTTGAACTGGGGCAAAACTGTGACAAGGGCTCAGTTGCTGTGAATGACACTGTATAAATAAAGATGATTAATGCACTGAGAAAACAATATTTCTCTGAATCTTGGTAGTGGTGAACATGAAGGAAGTCGGCGGATGAAAACAGAATTACTGGTGCAGATGGATGGCTTGGCCCGATCTGATGATCTTGTATTTGTTTTAGCAGCTTCCAATCTGCCATGGTAAGAGATCCAGAGAGTACATTTTGAATACATTTTCATGAGCTTCTAAGCACAGATAAAGATTTTATTTAGACTTCTGCAGAAAAAGCCTTGATATTTGGTTAAAGCATTTAAAGATTAATTTGGGGCTTTTACTTTTAAGCTCTTCAATTCTTGCTATTTGTGTCACATGAGCATAATCCATAATAAAGTCAACATATGCTGGTCGTACCAGCTGCTAATATTTAAAATGGAGTATTTGATTTTATAGGCAAGTTATTTACTATGTTTAAGCTAAGAAGGGTTTTCAGCCTAGAACTGTAAGGGGCTTAAAACATCTGGTGCTTAGAAGGATACTCCATAAATAGGAATGTTGGATTTTATTGGTATCAAATGTGACTTCAAAAAGTTGAGGGACAAAATTCTTTACTATCTTCGACACAATTTGATATAGAGGAAAAAAGAGTTTAAGATTGTAACTGTGGGATTTCATCATGTATTGGGAACAAGACAAGCTGGAGAGATGAGGAAGGGAGGTAACATTGTAGTGCAGCAACTGTGGATGCTCAGGAGGGGAGCTGCTGATCCTAACAGCACTGGGATCTTTCTGGATACCCCTGTACCTAAAGACACATGGACCTGAGTGAATCTGTTCCCCTCTCACATGGAGAAGAGCACAGAACAGGAGAACAGGAGAACTGCAGTCCTGTTTCCAGGGAACTTCAAGCCATGGTCTGGGAATCATTTGTTGGAGCATTCCCAGAATGACCTCATGTGAGCAGCAGTTCAGCAGCATTTGAAGTGGCAAAACTTGAGATTTGACTTAAAGGTGCTTTGTTCAGTGAGATTACTCTTGCCCATCTCTGTAGTGTGACAGACACAGAGCAGGGCACCTAAAACCAGCTGGGAACCAGAGAGGGCTCTGCACCCACAAACCCACAGGCTTCATTTATGGATTGTTTTTCAAGATTAGTGATTTTTGGCTGAATCTTACAAAGCTGCCATGGGGACAAATGTTGGAAAAGCCTCTATTTGTGGCTGGAGAGCTCTGGGTTGTGATCAGCAGACTTTTGGGAGTGTCAAGTCTGAATGTCACTGGTGTGTAACTACAGCTGCTTTCTTATAGAAACGTCTAAAGTCCTACAGCATATTTTATTTTGAACACAAAAATGCACATTTTGGTTGTGCATATTGCCAAATGTTCTCAAAGTCTATGCTAATATTTTATTCCTCTTGTCAGCTGACCCCCTTTTTGTCAGGCCTGGCTGAAAAGGTCCAGGGATCAAGCAGATAGAATTAAATAAATAGAAGTGGAGTTTTTGACTGAGAATTGAGGCTGAAAGGTAGTATTTTCAATCAGTCCCATGTGGCAGGTAAGCCTAGCTTGTCTTGTCCAGGGTTTTCAGGCTCTTTAAATGAGAGAATAACCAGAGAATAACAATTTAGGTGTGAACACGTAAAATTTGTGTAGAAGTTAGCTGTACCAAGCTGGGCTGGTGCCTACCCTGTCCCAAAAGTGTGAGTACCGAGCCACCATGGGGGTTTTTTTGTAGCCATAACAGCAAAGTCTGAGTGTTGGTTTCAGGGATTTATGTCTTGGACAAACTCATGAATTTAAATCAGTGCAAAATCCACCCCATTTTGTTGCAGTATCTATATAAAAGGAACTGAGCTGAGTTAGATTTAATTGCGTTCCAGTTGTGTAAGAAAATGCTGAAAAAATAACTGCTGTCTATGTGGACAGTTAAGTTTGAAAGAATTAATACAGTATTAATAAATTTATCTCTATTAGCAATACACTATAAATGTTTACATTATTGCAGCATTGTTGCCCTTTTAGAAGCTCTGAGCAGTGCATTGCACCTTTCTGTGTTCTCTTAAATTATCATGTAAGATAATTATTCATGAAGAGAGATTTATGCATGTGTTTTGTTACTCTGTTTCTGCCTTACAAAATCAATAATCTTTCTGGGAAGTTGTGTAAAATACGCAGAATTAAAATTTGATTATTTTTTGTATTTGATTTTTGATTATTTTATAATGCTGAAGTTCTAATTTCTGCAAAATTGCTTCCTTTAAGCATCAAAAATTAGTGTCTTTATTTAAGGTTGAGACAAAATTAAAAGGTTTCTGGTTTGAGGGGCCTGCCCTGAATGAAAGCTGTCAGTCTGTTTTGGGACAAGATTAGCAGCTGAAGTGTTCATTTTTGGAAGTTTTATACCTGAGACTTAAGAACTTCCTTTTCGACTTTCTCTCTTGTCTGGTGGAAATGTGCCTAGCACAGAGAAAATGCTCTAAAGAAGGGGCTGGGCAAATGCTTAGAAAAGTGTTTGAGGGGGATAGAAAGCCTGGTGAGAGCCTGAGTTTTCACATCACTGGGGTTCTCCAGCCTCAAGGAATTTGGGATTATCTGCCTCCAGAGAGGTCAATAGGTTTTGAACCTCTTTTAGAATCCCAACTATATATTTACAGATTATTTTTATGAGTGTTAGGTGACATTTAGCCCCACTGTCAAACCCAGACTTCATCTCCACAGGAGTATTTCATAAGAAAATTTCAAAATACCTACTGCTACCTAAGCTGTGGCTTCACAGCACGGCCCTGTGCTCTTGCAAACATTTGTTGTTAAGCTGGATTTCAAGAGATTTGTTTAACATGTATATTTATTGATCAGGGGAAAAAAAAAATTAGTACCAAGCTGCTTTTAGAAGAATGAAAAGAAGCCTAAACAAAGCTCTTTACACTGCTCTAAGCTGCACTGCAGCTATAGATCTTCCTCTTCAACCTGTGCTTGCTGCCCAGCCCTGCTTTCTGCTGCTCATCTGCAAGGTGTTTCTATTGACAAATTACTTGCTGAAATTATTAAATGTAATTAAATAAAGTAAAAGTGTCATTAGTGAAGGAATAAAGAGATCTTTAATCACATAGGTTCCTAATTTATCAACAGATTTAATTCAGTTCTCATTGCAGTGCTGTTTTCTTCTCATCCTTACCCTCAAGGTGGGTGAAGTTGTGGTGCACATGAACAGATTCTTACCTCCCAACCCAAACCATTCTGTGAATCTGTGATGCCTCCTAATGTTATTTGCAAAAAGTCTTCTATCTTATGGATCTGTAGAGCTCTGTTAATCTTTTCTTGAGCATCTCTCAGTACTTCCTTTGGCTGTTCTTTCAGAGAATATTTGGCTCAGAGCTTTGTATTCTGCTCTGGTTAATGTCACTTAACCTTGCATTTGATCAAAACAATTCAGCAACAACCTAAACACTGGAGATAACAAAAACATTGTTTCTTTATTTCCCTCTTGAGCCAACAGGTCACTGTAACCCTCTGGATAAACAGAATCAGAATGACAGAATCACAGAATGGTTTGGATTGGCAGGGACTTTAGAGCACATCTAGTTCCACTCTCCTGCCACAGGCAGGGACACCTTTGACCAGCCCAGGTTGTTCAAGCACCCCATTTTTGAACAATTCAGGTATGGGGCAGCCACAGAGCAGCTGTGGCAAAGCTTCTCTGCACAGAGCAGAGACTTCTGTTGGAGACTTATTTACAGAACAAGGCGAAGGGGACCCATCAAAGTGTGTCCTTGGGGGGCCTGAAGCAGAAGGAGTGATGGAAAATGTCATCCTTTGGAGGATTTACAGGCTATTTGCAGAGGCTGGCTGTGGTTGTCCTTCACCTGCAAAGGCTTTTTAGAGTACCTGCGTGGGTACCTCTAAACCCCTGAGAATTTTGCCCTCTTTACACAGATGATGTTAATGTGGGTATTAATATGGGTAAATAACAGCAAAGTGCTATCAGCCAGACTAATTATTTCCAGCCAAGCAAGGCAAGTTAAAGAAGTTGAGCTGGAAAATATATTTGAAACGTGAAAGGAGACTAATGGTTCTTTGTGCTGGGTGGAACCCTCTGTGAAAGGCATTGCACTGAACATTGGATGGACAGCACCTGAAAAAGCCTAAAAATATCAATGATATCAATATAGAAACAGCTGCTGATTAACAAATTCTTGTGTTTACTTCTAAGGCCTTGATTAGAAGCAGGGGTGGGGGGAGCTGAGTGAATTCCTGTTGTCCTCTGGGCTCCTCGTTTTCTGATTTTTGTGTTCATTGTTTGGAGCAGTGTATTTGGGACAAGGTGTCCCACACCGAGACATTTCTGTGGAGAGGGACACTTCTGTTCCTGCAGAGCTGACAGCCAGGCATGCTAAGGACTGGCAGGCACCTGTGTGGGGATTCGGGAGCCCATTTTTTGGGTTTCTTTATCATGTGCTATGCCACAGAAAGCATTTGGTATTAAAAAAAAAATAATGACAAGTCACCAAAGTTGACAGAAATCAGCTCTGGCATTGGGCTACAAATCCATCTTGAGCTGGCTTTGAACTCCCTGGAAACTAAAGGAGAGTTTCATACAAGAAACTCTATTTGTTGCTTTAATGCTGGCTTTGCTTGGAAAAACATTTCATCCAAGGAAATGGGGATAGGGGCAGGTTTATTTAAGTGTATCTGCAGTCCCAGGTTGCAGATACAAACCACCAGCAGCTGGTTCCTCGTGCTCAGCCAGCACAGGTGGAAATTATGCTTAGGGCTTCTGTTCTTCTGCCTGCACAAGAAACTTTGAAGTGGGTTTCCCCTGGATGAGATTTTCTTGCCAGGTATAAGGACTAAATAATATTTTATACTGGAATAAGGAGTCTGTGACTGAATGGGGCCAGTAGAGAAAGATTGGTACAGGACCTTTTTCTTACCTTTTTTTAGACAAAACATCATAGCCAGTGTTGACATTGACAGAATCAGGGTTTTTAGCTCACTGACTTTATCCAGCCTGTTCACCCTGCACATGATATTTTTGATAAGAATAATGTCCCTTCTGGTTGTTAATTTATAATAATAAAAATATAAATAGACAAACCCAAAACAAAAGAAACCAAAATATAAATTATAAAACTATAAAAACATATTTATAATTTGTATTGCAGGAGGAGTCTCAGTTTGGCATTCTGTTCTGCCATAATACAAAGCCTCACATCCAGGACCTTCAGTCTGGATTTTATACCTACTGAGCATCCCTTACTAAGTAGCAATTAATTAGTCCTGAGAGTGGCCCAGACAGGCAATTTGTAGTGACTCCTTAACAGGGGGAAAGGGAGAGGCTGTTTCTGACAAGACATGCTGCAGATGAGTACCAGGGCAAAGAATGGAAACTGAAACTTCTGGTTGTTACTTTTAGCATCGGTGTCACAAGTAGCGTTATCACTGAACAGGAAACACACTGGATAATTAACCCGTTGTTTGGTTTGGGGGGTTTTTGGGTTTTTTTTGTTTGTTTGTTTGTTGTTTTTTTTTTTCCTTTTTTTTTGTTTGGGTTTTTTCTTGTCCCTGTTTAGGACACAGCTACAGGCGAGGATCGTGCTGTCCAAGCCGCGTCTCCACAGCGAGATGCGCTGAGACGCTCCCTCTCCTGCTGTGCTTGCAGGGAGCTGGACTGTGCCATGCTGCGGCGGCTGGAGAAGAGGATCCTGGTGGACCTGCCGAGCGAGGAGGCACGGAGGGTGATGATCCAGCACTGGCTGCCCCCTCTCAGCAACAGCGGCGGGGTGGAGCTGAGGACGGAGCTGGATTACAGCCTGCTGAGCCAGGTGGGCGAGTGCCGGGCACGCAGCTGAGCCCACCTGGGCCGGGGGGACAGCGGGGGACCGGGCACTGGGCACGGCACACACACACAGACACACACACAGACACACACACAGACACACAGACACACACACACAGACACACACACACCTGGAAATCGCCGGCTTGAGCAGCTCTGCCTGCAAAATGGTGTGTCCTGGTCCTCCTCTGCTGGGCCGGCTTTTCAGCCTTAAATACAGGGAGACTTCCAGCAACAGCAGATTTTATCACTGCTCTCACCGAGCTGGGAGCACTTGCAATTCATCAGGGTAATGAACAGTTAATTGTGTGGGGAAGGTTTGTCACAGCTCCACTGCTTAGGCAGAAAAGAGCATTTGGCAGCGAAGATATCACAGCTTCCTTCATTTAGCACTTTGTCACGTCCTGGATTCTTTGAAAACAGAATCCTAGAATGGTTTTGGTTGCAAGGAACTTCACAAACCACCTTGTTCCAACCTCTAGCTGTAAGCAGGAGCACCTTTAATTAGCCCAGGTTGCTCAAGGTCCCAGCTCTTAAATATTTTAGTTTACCCAGCTGAGATTCTTACCTCTCAGTTTACAGAGACAATACCTCTCAGTTCTGGGTTCATAAGTAAATACATTTATTTTATTAACAGGACAGCTGAGGATGGACTCAGAAAGGTGGGTTTTGTCTGACCTATAGAAAACTGGCATTTAGTAAGAAAATGCCCATTATTTTCCTTGGTCCTTCCTATGAGGAATTGTAGGCATTCAAAGAATAAAAAGCTACATAATTTTGAGGGGATGGTACCAAAAAAATAATAGATTTGTGTGTCTATCTGTATATAAACGTGTATTTCAGACATCAGTAGACTTCACAAATATTTATACAAATACATAATATATATGCCTTTAAATTCCATTTCTGTCTGATTTGTGAGCTGTAATGTACCATTCTGATCCCATCACAGGAAACCAGTGGATACTCTGGCTCAGACATAAAACTCGTGTGCAAGGAGGCAGCCATGAGACCAGTGAGGAAAATTTTCGATGCTCTCGAAAATCATCAGCCAGGTACCTCAGCTCTGAGCAGAAAATCCTGCCTGGGAATTGCTGATTTCCTGCTGTAACTCTTGGAACAAACATTCTAACTCCAGCAGGTGGAGCTCTGATATCTGCATGAAAAAGTTTTAAACTCTACAGTTCCAAACCCTCTAAATTTCTAAAAATTTGGGCTTCTTTTAAAGCTGTCATTATCTGTGCCCTCAGCATAAATACAATTTTTGATTTACCTCACTAACATTTGGTCTGTTATTTTCCTGCATTAAGTGTGGGACTAGGCATGGACATAAAAGAGTGCCTTTCAGTAATGGTAACAGGATTTATTCAATTCTCTTGTCTTCAGGTAACAGTAACTTGGCCATGATCCAACTGGACACAATCACAACAGCCGATTTCCTGGATGTGATCACCCACACCAAGCCATCAGCAAAGAATCTAAGCCGGAAGTATGTGGCTTGGCAGAGGGAATTTGAGTCAGTCTGACAGAAAAAAAACAAACCAACCCCAAAATCAAAAACCTCAGCCATTTGCCGTCCAAAGTGGCCTCCAAGGGATCAGATGTTGATGGGGAAGGAGGTGCTGTTGTTTCAAGGAACAAAATGCAGTGACAAGTGTCAGAGGGAAGTCTTTACTTTCAAAATGCAAGGGTGGGTGAAGGGGTGGTGGTTATTCTTTATGCAAAGAAGTTATTGGAATTAATGTGATGGCAGCTCCTATGCAACAAAGCCTCCAGCCTTAATTTTATGCATAAAGACGTAAAAGATTGATTGAGTCTCAGTCTTTATTCATGACAGATTTTGGGTAGAACTGGAGGAAAGTTTAAAAGCAGATAGATAATTACTGTAATTCTCCATTTCTGACACTAAGTAGATCATCACAGTCAGTGTAGCTTTCCCAGAAGAGACCTGCATCCTTCCTAACGAAACACAAAACAGGAGTTTTCAGTGAAATTCAGGACCTTAGCAAGGCATGTAAATTTGACTAGTTTGTCACTATATTCAGATGAGTTCAAGGCCTTGAAGTGTGTTACTTTCCTGTTGGTTTGGGATACTTCCAAGGTGAAAAAGAGAAGCAATTAGAGAAAAACTGCAGAATATCAGCAAATTTAGGATAATTAACTAGAAATTATATTGGTGGCTGCCCACTGGTTTGCAGCCAGCCATAAATCAGAATTGCAGAATCCCTGGATGGGTCAGGTTGGAAGGGACCAGAGGGGTTCACATCTGGTGCCACCTCCCTGCTCCAGCAGGGCCATCCCAGAGCACAGGGCACAGGATTGTGTCCAGAAGGGTCTGGAATACCCCTGGAATACCCCGGAGATTCCTCCCCTCTCTGGTCTCTGCTCAGGGCAGAAGTTGTTCTTCCTGTGCAGGGGCAGTTCGTGGGCTCAGTCCCTGCCCATTGCTCTGGTGCCATTGCTGGACCCTGGAGCAGAGCCTGGGCTCTGCTCTGACCTCCCTGCACCCAGGGACCCCCAGGGACACCCAGAGACATCCAGGAACACCCAGGGCTGAGGGCTCTCTCCCAACCTTGAACAGCCCCAGCTCCCTCAGCCTGTCCTGCTAAGAGAGATCCTTGCTCAGGAGTGTCACCTGCCCTGCCCCATGGGTGCTGCAGGGGGGTGTGCAGGGCAATGCCCAATGTCCCCCATGCTGGACTGTCCTGCTCACACACGTGGCCAGCACTGCCACGTGTCCTGCACTCATCAGAAATTCCAGCATGGCATTTATTTTCAGGCTCCAGGTCTTATCACTGCCCTCTCTCACTCTCCCTTCTTGCTCAGCACAACACTTCCCCTCCATGCAGTTCTCCCTCTGGTTTCCCTTGGGCTGGTGTGCCTGCATGGTGTTTCCAGCACATTCCAGGACCTCTTAATTGTCCAGCACTGACAGTCCTTTTTAATTCCTGCATCTGTCACACATGATTAGAAGTCTCCAAGGGAAATGTTTTCACAGGATTTTGCTGATACATCTCCCACCCCTGCACCTGACCCTGACCCCAGGACACAGACCTCCCTTATATCCTTCCAAGCAGAAACCAGCAGGTTGAGAATTGCTGGCACAAAACCCAGATGTATGCAAAAACTGAAGCTGGCAGTACAAGGGCCCACAGACACTATCTAAAGATGGCTCCTGTTCCTCAGAGGTCTCTTCTCCCAGGCAGAAAGTGACATGATGAGACAAAGCACCCTCAAGTTGCACCTGGGGAGGTTCAGGTTGGATATTTGGTATTATTTCTTCCTGGAAAAGACTGCCCAGCCCTGGCACAGCTGCCCAGGGCAGTGGTGCAGTCCCCATCCCTGGAGGGATTTAAAAGCTGTATGAGTGTGGCACCTGGGGACATGAGTCAGTGGTGGCCTTGCCAGTGCCGGGGGAATTGTTGGATTTGATGACTTTAGACAGCTTTTGCAGCCTAAATGATTCTGTGATTTATTCTTGTGTTTCTACTGCAAAATCTCCTCCATCCACCCATTCTGTTCCTGAGAGAGACTAAATCTGAACGTAGCAACCACCCACCAAGGGAGGCTGCAGAGAGACACTGACACGTGAGGAATTCATTCATCACCATGGTTTTGTTTAACAAGAACAAGCATGGCTCATTAACACAAAACTGTATTTTCAATAAGGTTAATACTCCAGTAATGCATAATTACAATCTAATAATTTAACACACAGGAGCACTGTAAAACAACTGTAAAGGACTTTGATTATTACAGTTTGCAAATGGACCAGAAAAGCCATTTACCGTCATTATGAAGCTGGTTCATATTGGGGGATGTAGTGCATAGGAAAAGCATTGCACGCTACAGAATTAAATTTCATTTTACAACTCTGCTAACCAACTGTAAAAACTGGAATCTGTCCCCATGGCTTGAGAAGGATTTTTTCCATAACATTAAAAAGAAACAAAAAAAATCCCCAACAACAGTGAAATTTTGCAACTGTAGCATTAATAGGACCCTGCTGAAGCCTAATTTTAAAAAGTCACCGTCTCCAAGGCATTTAATACCAGAGTTTTGTTTCTGTATCATTCTTTTTAATAACAGCATCTAATTAAAACATCTGTAAAATACTGACAGTTTTTAATTTTATGTAAAATTTGAAAAGCAAATAACAGGATATGTTCTAATGAAAGACAGCCACAGTAGTTATTATTAAGCAATGATGATAATTTCATTTAAGAATCACTTCTAAACGTGCATAATCTCTACCTTTAAGTCAGAGCAGAGCAGAGACATCAGTGAAATCACTACAGGCTCACTGAGGCTCTGTTGGTGTTTGAGCTTTGTTTACTTGAGTGTTTTCAGTTTAACTTATTCTGCAGAAGGTGACACTTCCCAGACGTGACTTTTCATAAGGTATTCTTTGAAAAGTGAAAGTAAGAAAATATTGCCACCACTCCCTGTGTGTGTGACTGTGCTGGGCCCACAAGGATCCCCTGCCCCTCACAGCCCAGGGTGGTCTCCGATGGATGCCATGCATGCACTGATCTTGGGACCTCAATTTCTGAAGCAAGAATGAAGGAAATGGTGTGAAACAGAAGTTTCTTCAAGCTAGCTGTTCCCTTTCTCACAGCATCTGCTTCAGAATATGTTCCACTGCCTCTGGGAAACTCTCACAGGTTAAGTAGGGAGCTGGGTTGATTTTGTTTTCATCTGCTGGACGGTATTTACCTGTAACACATTAACACAAAGATCCCTTTACCAAACTCATCTGAGTACCCTATTTTTCCCACCCAGAAAATTGCAGCTTTGTCATAGCAGTACCAACCAGGAAAATGCCTATCTGGGCAAAAAACATCCCACAGAGCTTCCCTAAACAAATGCTGAGTCCTACTGGAGACTCCTTCAGGGGCAGCTCTGGATCAAAACTAGTGTTAATTGCACTGGTTCACTCTGCTGTACTGGCAAATGTCCACATTGTAGGTTCTTAATAATAATAATTATCATAGAATCCCAAAATGGTTTGGGTTGCAAGAGACCTTAAAGCTCATCCAGTCCCATCCCCAGCCATGGCAGGGACACCTTCCACTGTCCCAGGTTGTTCCAAGCCCCATCCAACCTCACTTTGGACACTTCCAGGGATCCAGGGGCAGCCCCAGCTGCCCTGGGCACCCTGTGCCAGGGCCTGCCCACCCTAACAGAGAAGAATTTCTTCCTAAAATCTCTAACCTAAATTTCATTTTGAACCCAGTACTCCCTGCTCTATCACTACAGTGTGACAGTAACAGTTCCCTCTGTTCTTTGATTACCCCTCTGGATTTTTGAGTCAGAGCAAAAATTCACACCTACAAGAGCAGCTGTCCCCATCTATGACTTTGGTCACCCTGCCATCAGCTGGGCTCTGTGCTGTGCTCTAGCCCTGGCTGACAGGCTGCCTCTGCACCACCCCAGCATGATGTGTGACCCCTGTCACACAGCAGCAGGGCTGGCCCCAGGCCCCAGAACACCTTCATTTCTGGGCACAGGGTGAGATCCCTGAAGGCACCACTGTCTCCTGATATGACCGATCCATTGAGTACTTACCCGTCCTTACCAAAATCCCACGCATGCCTGCCTGCTGGGCACCACCAACATCATCCCTGCAGTCCTGGGACACAGCAGGAGAGCAGTGGGTTAGTGGGCACAGACACTTCCATAACCTTTCCTGTTTTGCATATCACTTAAAAGCAGAGACACAGAGTCACATCTTTTAGCTACCCTATCAGTCACACTGTCACAGGAGTGGTTTTCTATGTGCTCTCTGCCTGATCAAATAGTGACTGAAGTCAGAGAGAAACCCCCATGGATTACACACTAAATCCTGTGAACTTTCATGGAATTGGTTAGGTTGGACAGTCCCTCTAAGATTGAGTCCAACCATTTCTGAGCACTGCCCATGTCTCCAACTGCCACATCCACACAGCTCTAAAGCCCTCCAGCGATGGGGACTCCACCAATGCCCTGGGCAGCTGTGCCAGTGCTAAAAATCCTATTTCATGAAGAATTTTTCTCTAATATCCCATCTAAAGCTCTAAACCACCCCCTGGCCCAGCCTGAGGCCATTCCCTCTCCTCCTGTCCCTGTTCCCTGGCAGCACAGCCCGACCCCCCCGGCTGTCCCCTCCTGCCAGGGACTTGTGCAGAGCCACAAGGGCCCCCTGAGCCTCCTTTGCTCCAGGCTGAGCCCCTTTCCCAGCTCCCTCAGCTGCTCCTGGGGCTCCAGCCCCTTCCCCAGCTCAGTTTTCTCTCTAGAAATGACTGTTCCATCCTTTGGAATCCCCCTTTGCAGGCCCTGCACACGGAGGGCAGCACTGCACTGCTGGGCAGGTGAGGAGGGTTGGTGCCCACGTACATCTCCAATCATGACGGCCTCCTCGGGGGCACAGCCAGTGCCCCGCAGAGCCTCCAGGAAGAAAGTCTTCTCTGGCTTCCCCACCACGGTGGCTTTGGTGTCCGTGGCATACTCCAGCCCTGTCACAAAAGGTCCAGGTCCCAGACACAGG